AGTATGGGTTAGCGACGAAAAAAAATTATTTCTAATTCTATCCCTAATAAGGAGGGAAAATGATCCATCCCCTTTTCTTAACAAAAATTAGGGATATTTTTTAAACAAAAATTAGGGATATTTTTTAAATAAAAATTAGGGATATTTTTATTAAATAATTTAGAAAAAAAAACAAAATTAGGGACATAATTTGTTCGTCCCTAATAGGAAACGATTTATTATGTTCCTATTAGGGACGAACAAATTTCGTTCCTATTAGGGATGGACAAATTCCATCTCTAATTCTTTTAATGGGGACAAATTTCACCTTTCTTCTACTTGTTTTTGTTGGCCACCTTGGGGACGAAAAATATCTTTTAGAGACGGACTTATTTCGTCCCTATTTAGGGACGAAAATACATTTCCGTCCCAAATCATTAGCGAGGAGCATTTTGTGGAGGAAATATTTTACGTCCCTAATTTATTAATGGACAAAATTATACCCTTTAGGGATAAAAAATTCTGTCCATAATCCTTGCTTTTTTAGTAGTGGTCTAATTCATTCTTATCAAAATGCGTACTAATTAATCACTTGTATCAAATTGTGTGCTAATTGTTCATGGCAAGTTTAGGAGGTTGCTCGAGCATCGCCACGATCTGGTGAGAGTTTGGCATCATATAGCCACCAAGTGGTTTTTCGATCGGATAAGGGCAGACATATATGGATTAATCCTGACGTGGCCAAACAATTGAAGCAAAAATAGGCAACATATGAGAGCTTTAAGAGGAGGTCAGAGCAAAATAAGCAAAATAAGTCCCAAATGCAAGGACCCTAATATGCCGAAGGCTCAATTCCAATCAGTGCACATAGGATAAAGCTTGTAAGTATACATTGTTTTCTATTTTGATATCCTTTATTTGTACTTACAACTAATTAATGGTCCTCATTTGTATTTGCAGACCATTTTTGGGGACGTGGAATCTCTTGATTAGGCTACCTTTGAGAGAACCCATTCCCAAGAGTCCAAGCTGGGAAGCAGAGGATTAACAACAGGTCCTAGCAAATAGTGGTGAGACATTTATTGCTTTACTTTTGTTTAAACTATGAGATTTAATTTTATTTTGCATGTCCACATTTTTTTTTGCTTGTAGGAAAACTATTAGAAGCTCCAAGAGTAGAGGGCCACACAGTCAGCGACAGATGGTTTATCTGACTCTTCTCAGTCTGATAACCACAAGTTGTAGGAGGATTCAACAAGAAAGAAAGAGTGTTCAGGTTGGGAGGATATGTCAGCCATTTGAAGCCTAGTAAGCACCGCTCATGCCTGATTGGAGGTGTTTATATAGGTAAAGGCATAGTTAATTATTTTACATTTTCACTCCTCAATCCATTTAAATTAAGTACAAAAAACGTATTTATAATGATCTATTTACATATGAGAAAAAAAATGAAGGCGTTGGTTCGCAGCATGGACGTCGAACAGCAAGAGAAGACGTCCCAGCTGGATGCGCAGCTGCAAACTCAATCAGAGGAGCTGGATGCTTCGACACATCATCTGAATCTTCAAGCGAAAATGATGAAGCAAATGCAGGACCAGCTCTAGCTCCTAATGAAAGAGAAGGAAGAGAACAGCAACAACAAGAAGAAAGGATCGAGTCTGGATAATGACGATGACTAGGATACTATTTTAGAGACATTAGTTATGATTATAATCATTTTTAGTTCGTTTTGTTGGCAGCATTTTTGTTTTATTTAAAAATAGTATTGTTTTTATTTCATTTTGTTTACATACAATTTTTTAATTTTTTAGGATTGCTATAATGTTTACTTTTGTTGATACAAATTTTTATTTTAATTGTGATATCCAGTATTATTTTTTCATTTATATTTTATTTGCACTTGAGTGGTTGCTGTTTACATGTCGAAATTAAATAATTATCAAATTTGTTTTTCTAATTTGTCCATTTGCGACGAAAATTTTAAAAAATTTGTTGCAAATTTGGCAGACAATTTGCGTCATAGATGGTTCAGCCTGTAGCAATTTGCGGCGATATTACATCACAAATTCCTCGCAAGTTTTGCAAAAGTAATTATTTGTATTCGATCACAAATTCTACGACAGAGTAAAATCATATTTCTGGTACAAATTTGCGATGGTTTCTTCATTTATTTCTATCTCGATTTTTTGATGGAAACTTTTTCCATCGCAGCTTGCGACTGAATCCCAATGTCAACATGTCTTCCTATTGCAAAGAAATATTACAATTTTGTGTCGAAAAAATACCGTCGCAATTTGCTAGGAAAATTTGATCGCCCTATTGTCGTCTCAAAAATTATTTGCGATGAAACAATTTGCGAAGGAAATTATTCATCACAAATAGCGTGTTTTTTTTAGTGTAACATTTTTTCTTATTTACATTTCTTTTAACGCATCTTTTACAATTTTTTCCTGAGAATGGTAATCTGAGACTCATAATAACCCCATATTACTTGATGTGTACGCTTGCATAGTTTGAGTAGATTTGCTCTTCGTATATTTATACTTGTTCCTTATACATAACACTTGCTCCTCACATATTTTGCTCTCACTTAACCTCGATCAGATCTTGACCTAAACTTCCCATGCAACAGCTTAACGAAGAAGTCAGTCAAAAATCAAGAATACTAATTTTATAACTATTTATATATTTAGATATATAAATACAAAGATATGGGATAAAATAAAATAAGATTATTATATAACTATTTGTATATTTCATAATAGAATGTCATAAAAATCACGTATGTTAAGTAAAGTGTAATTTCTTGGACCAAATCTTGCTTTAAAGAAGTCTTATATATCCAAAACAACGAGCCTAGTAAAATTCTCAAAAACATGAGTACATCCGTACAAAAATTATTACGCATAAATAAATTGTTAATAACTATGTATATATAAACATTTGAACTTTAAATATTCTCTTTGGGAGAGCTAGCTTCCGTGGAAAATACTTGTGGTTAATTCAAAAAGGGATAAGTTATTCTACCTACTTTTGCTTACCCCTTTCAATACCGTTCGATTACAATATCATCCAACGGTTGATATCTACGATATAAAATAAACTATTCTTTCCTCTCTTTTTTCACTTCCTCTCACATCTTTTCTCTCTCCTTCCCTTTCTCTCTTTCTCATTCACCAATACCTATACCTATTTTAAATTATCTTCCATCTGAATCATTAGTTCAGTTCCATAGACACTGGAATTCCATTAACCGGTTCAGTTCCTGAGACTGGAATTCCATTAGCTGTCGAAAGTTTGGAGATGGGTGTTAAATCGTCTGGCAATAATGACATTGGAATTCCATTAATCGGTTCAGTTTTTCTCATATGATAATTCAAAAGATAATTGTTAACAATGAATCTTTTTTCTCAGCAAGTTCCTTTTTATCATTATTGTTAACAATGAATCTTTTTTCTTTTTCCTTTTGATGTTTAATTTCTTCGGTTCCTCATGTGTATATTAGAAACATCTTCTTTATAGATAAATTACATCAAGTTCTGTAATTATCATATGTTATTTTTGAGTCAATCATTGCTGGAGATTGGCACAAAGGACTTGACTTTTGTCCAACTAAACCAATTAATTGGAAGGAAAACCGGAGGAATATCAGTTTAATTCCATTAGCAGTCGCATGATTGTTCGAGGCAAATAAGTATACGCTAGCAAGAGAAAGGGGAGAAGAGAAAGAAAGTGTGGGAGGAAGTGAGGAGAAAGAAGGGAAAAAAAATTATTTTATATCGCAGATATCGACCTTGGATGAGATTGTAATCGAACGGTATTGAAAGGGTAGACAAAGGTAGGCAAATTAAGAGTAGGTAGAATAACATATCACATTCAAAAAAAGAACTTTAAATATTTACATGAGTTAATTTGACATATATTTAGCACGAAAGCTTTGGGATCCTCCACAAACCATAGTGCTTGCGATTACCTATTGCACCGACACTAACATGAGACACGACACGACATGACACTCCGATACATTAATTCTAAAAACGGTTAGATCTCGACACATTAGGACACATTTTGCTATTAAATAATATTTTAATTTATGTAGTCTATATTATATTTAATATTCAATAATTTAACTAAAAAACAAAGTTAAACTTATAATACCCATAAATTTAGCAAAGAAACGTAAGATATCACAAATATTTATATTAAACTCAATAATCGTCGCAGTTAATAGTTGGAACTAAAAACACAAAGCAAACTTTGAACTATTTTTGAGTCTCTGCAACACGTGTTAGAGTGTCGTGAAGTGTCGGACACAACATGTCAGACTTTTTTGAAGTGGCGGTGCATCATAAGTGATTACAAATTACTAGAGGCAATAATTAACATATAAGACGGAAGCACTGGGCATTACGAGAATAGATCCTCTCGTGTTAAAATTTCATATAACCAAGGGATAAGTTATTCTACCTATCATTTTTTTCTGTCTACCTTTGCCTATCACCCTCCAATATCGTTATATCAGAATCTTAACTCACATTTATCTTTCTCTCTCTTCTTGAGATTCTGATCTAACGGTATTGAAGAGTGGTAGGCAGCAGAAAAAATGGTAGGTAGAATAACCTATCCCTATAATCAAATCATATTAAATTTTTGTGTCTATCTCTTTATTCATTAATAATAATTAAATATCATCTATTTAATGTATATTAAGAGAAGGATACATACAATTATACAAAATTAATGATCAGTCACGTGAATTTTTAATGTGACTATGTGAGAACATCCACTCTCGGGTATTATACAGCGTGACAACATCCACTCTCGGGTATTATACAGCGTGACAACATCCACTCTCGGGTGTGATACAGTGAAATAGCAAAGAAAGCATTTGTATAATTGTACAAGAGATAAAAATAATTCTATGCATGGTTGTCATGGTCTCATCTTGAAGCAAAATATATAGGAACATCATAGTACTAAATAAAAGGACTTGGATTTTGATTTTGAAAGAGCTGTACTTGATGGCTGTGCGTGGATCAAAATGGTGGGTTGCTGAATGGGTTTTGGTTGTTTTTCTTCTTCTTGTCTCAGTCGCTGTTACTTCTTCTCATCAAAACACAGTCCAGAAAACAACCTCAGCAGCATCCAGCGAGACAAAAGGGGTTGATGCAAATGATCATGCTAAAGTATTTTACAAACACACTTGGCCGGTAAGAGTGTTCACTTTTCATCATAATTTATGTTTTTATATACCTTAATTTGAATCAATTTCAAGTAGACAAAATAGTAAAAAGATTTTTCAGGGCCATGCATGTGGATATATTGGTGTTTGTATGTTAAGGACGTACGTAGAATTTGGATTAACTTTAATTTACCTCTTTTTTTTTTTTTTTGTTCTGCAGGGGCTGAAATTTGGATGGAGAATAGTGGTGGGCACCATAATTGGATTTCTAGGATCAGCATGTGGGACTGTGGGAGGTATTGGTGGGGGTGGCATATTTGTGCCCATGCTTACCCTAGTTATTGGATTCGATGCAAGATCAGCAACAGCAATATCAAAATGTAAGAACTCATATATTTTTCTCCAATTCCTCCCCTTAACTTCTCTCTTAAAAATAACATTTGGGTTAAGTTATGAGATTTTCAATAATTCATGAATGCACGGATGTGTGTGCGATATTGACACCAAACATATGGGGTTGGTATTAAGTTGCTTCCTTACTTTCTTATTCTCAATTTCCTTAATGAGATTAATGTTTGGAATTAAATTATTTGTTCTGGCTTAGACCTTAATTAGGACTATCTTCTTTATTGTTAAGGAATACAAATTTTGCAACATTCTTAAGTAACATCCTTCATTTGGTTAGTTTTCATTTCATCTGGTACAATTCGTTATTGTTTCCCCCCCTAAATATAACTAGTAAATTACAAGTATATATAATGATAAACTTATTACATATCTATCAAATATAACAACAAAATTCTTAGATCTGGATTTTGGTTTGAAAACATATGAAATTAATGATATATCAACAAACTTGTAATTCAGTTGATGATTTCGTCTTAGGTCTTTTGACGAGAAGAATACTAATATAAAATGTAAGTTCTCCACATAATACATATGTTTTTGTTTCGTACGTGCATGCGTAGGTATACTATTTAATTACTTCTGTAAGCAATAGATAAAAATCCATGCTGCTTTGTACTAAAATAAAATAAAATTTCATGCTGCTAGTTAAGTGTATCGAAACTCTTATTTATAAACATAATATTTTATGTTTAATGACATTTACCAAATTTATCCTTATTTAAAACGTTTTAAGCAAAATACTTTTTTGTTAACATTTTTATTATTTATTTTCACTCCTAACTTAGCTATCTTCTTCAAACCCATCTTTTATCACACACTATATAAACGGGTAGAGTGGTTGCGAGAAGGAGAGACAATTAATAAATGGGGTTTGTTGGTGCACAAATTAAACGGGAATTCCAATTAGAGATTCTATCATTCATACTACAGGTGCATTTCTAATAAGCCATTGTTATAGTGGGGGAAATGAAGAAGGTGATAGAAATAGTTATGGACCAACAACGGAAGGAAAAGGAGATGTAGTGAAAATCAAATAATTAAGATTGCATGAGTGCATGTGAGAAAGGCAAAAATAGATCAGAAGGGTGAAGTAAAGGGTCATTGGTGGGATTTTTTTAATATGATCAGGGTGCATGATTTTTTGGGTGTTCTTTTTTTTAAAAAGAAAAAATTCTCTTCCATTTATATTCCTATCTTCTTTTTGAATTCTCTCTCAATCTTTTTTTCCTCCCATTTTTGGATAAGGCCCACCCAGTCCGGGACCACCTAAAAATAAGATCCATTTGGTGTGATCAATGGATGATTTTGGTAAGTGATAAATGTGAGGCCATAGGAAGAAAATTACTTTAGGTGTAATAAATGGGGAAACATATATTTACCACCACAAAATTTTATCACCCTCACAACCATTTCATCAATCTAACGATTATTAATTTTCAATAAATCCAATAAATTATAGTCATTAAAATGACAAAAATTAATGGTGATTAGGTTGATTGTAAGAATGGTAAATTTTTGTGGTGGTAAGTACACCCTATCCTGTAATAAATAATAAAATAGTTAATGCAAAATTTAACGTTATAAGGGTAAATTTGAAAAACATAAAAACCAACAAAAAAAAGGAGTATGAATAGGTATATTAGAGTGCTAATAGCCTCAACTTTAATGACATATACAGTAATATGGATTTAATTATGATACACAGCAAAGGCTTTTTTACATTATCATCTAATTATACTAGTATCTTATGTATTGTTTAGATATTTAATTAGGTAAAATATAAAAAAGAAATTTAATTAATATTATAAAAGAGATTTGCAAGTTAATTTAAGTAGAATTTAAAATTATAAAGTAAAATTGCGTAATTAACTCAAAAGAATTTAAATTTCAAATTACAAAAAAAACAAATTAAAAATGACATCTATTAAAGAAATAATAAACTAAGAAATTAGACCACTCTTAAGAGAATATAGTCTCATATAATGGTGAATTTAAACACATTATTAAAAATTCTGATTATGACAACAACTACCAAAAAAGTAAGACAGTTTTAGCTAGTGACATGTCAACACATAATCAAAACAAAATTAAACTCTATTAATATTCTAAAAACTTTACGTAATCAAAATTAGAAGTTTCTGTGGTACCCATGAAGGATAAAATATCAAAATGAATTTTCAAACATTTGTTAATTGCTATTTGCTGATTTTAAAATTCATTAAATACAATCAACAAGTAATAAATTTTCAACAACTCACATTACACACCGTATCCTTGAAAAAAGAATAATCATCATTAAATTACAAATGAATTTAGAACTAGCATATGCATGATTAAGATTTAAGAAAATTTGAGTGTTAATATTTATCAGAAAAATATTTTTGCAGTTACTGCAGATAAGTTATCTGCATTTATTCCCAAAACAACGTCGTTTTGGAATTGAAATATTAAAAAATTATAATTATAAGACTATAATAACTCTGAAATAAATTAAAATTATAAAAATACCATGATTTTCGTCCCAAAACGACGTCGTATTGGCCTTACTGCAGATAACTTATCTGCAGTAACTGCAGAAAAAACGAACCCAATATTTATTAGAGTAAACTGTCGAATTAGTTCTTAAAAGATTTTGGTGGGAGTAAATTAATTTATGCGGAATATTATAATTGTCTATTGGTTCTCCAATAATTTGTTAGCGATTAAAATTAGAGGTATCTTAACAACTAGTTTGCACCACCATCCTCCTTTTAACTTGCAATGACTTAAAAAAAAAAAAAAAATTGATTATCAGGGGACAAGTTGCAATCCTTAAACGGGCGTTTGGTAGAGGAACAAAAAAAATTTACTAGGGAAATACAATTATTGGAGAAATGGTAGGAAAGTAAGTTTGATAGAAAAATTTAAAAAAAGTTGTTTGGTTGACCGAAATATTACTGAGAAAATTTATTTAAATTTGAAAAGTCTATGTTTGGTTGAATGTAAAATAATGATGGAAAAATAGGTTAAATTGACGAAAATACCCCTATTATAAATTTTTTGTGGAAGTGAAGTCACTCACTATGACGGTCAATTTGGTCCATAACTTTTTTTCCATTTTTTCACTTTCCCATCTATACCAAATACCATATCTCAAATGGTTTTTTGGAATAGTAAAAATCAACACAAAAAGAGTTTCCTATATATGCTTCCTAATCTCCTAGTATTTTTTTTGCAAACTTGTACCAAACATGGTATTTCTCAATACCCACTTTCACTTCCCCATCAAACTCAAAATAAAACCTATATCAAACACATCCTAAAGAAAATCTTTGAAAAACTAATTTGGTGTTCTATGTGTGTGTGCATACGTGCATAATGAAGTGCTAGAGAATATAAATAAAGTGTTTTTTTTTTTAACTTACAAATTAGATTCTAATTAACACATTAATTTATGACATTGAGTAAAATATATAAGACAAGAAATAGTAAGGAAAAGCATATTGAAGACATAATGAAATTCTAGCGTACGTCTTTACAATAAAAGTGTTTAAGATCTGATTTGTATATATATGTGTCCCCGTAAGTGTTAGAGAATAGAGGTAAAGTATTGTCCTTGAGTTTCTACTTTAAAAAACATATTAAGTAGTAAAGGTGTTCTAGATTTATTATTATCTTTCGAAAGTAAAGATGTTTGAGATTTGTTCCTTACTTACGAGCTCGCAATGAAGTGTTAAAGAATAGATTATTCTTAGTTTCTACTAACAAATTAGTTCCTTGACACATGAATTTAATTAAGACCTTGACTACCAGAGATGAGAGAGTAGGAAAAGACCCATTGAAAATCTTGGTGAAATTCTCTCATTGGACTTTGCCTTCAAGGGTGTTCAAGATCTGTTCCGTGTTAATAATTTGTCCCAATTTGAAGATTATTAGATTGGGTTTGGGTTAAAAATAAAATAAAATTGTATTATCAGGTTGAGTTTAGGTCACACTTCAAATTGCTATACCCATCACGATTTGTATAATACTTCAAAATTATTATTATTTTAAACAGTGTTAAATAATAATTTTTTATTTAATTAATATCTTTTGCATTACATAATAATGCTTTTGCATTCAAATAACCAAAAAGGAAAAAATCTCCTTTATAACCAATAATCAGTGCTAATAGTCATCTCAGGGCATGTTGTGCACCGGACAGAATAACGCGTCTTATAATATAAGACCTGATAGTATAAGAACTGATTAAATTTTAATGTTATATAATTTTTTAATTTATTTTTGACTATTTTCTTTGACAACTTATATGGATGAAATCTGTATGTTTCTGTTTTTTTGGTTAAGGCATTATTACGGGTGGAGCAGGAGCAACTGTTTTCTACAATTTGAAGCAAAGACACCCAACCCTTGACTTGCCTGTGATTGACTATGACATAGCACTTCTTTTCCAACCAATGTTGATGCTTGGGATCAGTATTGGGGTTGCTTTCAATGTTTTTTTTCCTGACTGGTTGCTAACAGTTTTGCTAATAATATTTTTCATTGGTAAGATTTGCTTAAAATTTGAGTCTATGCTTTTTATTTTTTCTCCCTTTTCCTAATTGAGTCTTGATGTGAAACAGGTATTTCAGTCAAATCTTTCTTTAAGGGTGTTGATACATGGAAAAAAGAAACCCTTAATAAGAAGGTTGCTTAAACATGGCTCATACTTAATATTTCTTTTTAGTTTTTCATTTTGATGCTTTGGTTTAATGCATTCCTGTTACAATTCCAGGAAGCTAGGAAGAATTCAAAGTTAAATGGTACGTGGTCCGATATTATTTATGTTCTAGCATTCTGTATATGTTGTGTTAGTTGCTACTTAATAGTTTCAATGTAATCAGATATTGAAAGGATTGAAGGTGCTGCTCATGATCTTCAAACAGGAGACACGGTCAAAGATAGTCATATCAATAGTAATCAATCAAAGAAGAAAGTGGTAGAAAATACAGACAGTTGCTGCTTCCATGTCCAACTTTTTTTCTTTTTTTGTTGTTGTTGATGATCTGAAACTGCCATGCAGGTTTCTGTTTTTGAGAATATTTATTGGAAGGAACTTGGACTTCTTTTGTCTGTCTGGATCATGATACTTGCATTACAGATAGGCAAAGTTAGTATCTGATGAACTATTCAACTCTCAGTTTGAGTTTTCTATTGGTGAACATAGAATGAGGATAATATGTGCCTTTGTTTTGAAACAGAATCACACAAAAACTTGCTCAGCGGTATATTGGACATTGAATCTACTGCAGGTATAAACTACAATAGGAAAATTCAATTTCTGGAAACCAAATTTTTCATCTTATATTTTGTTCTCTCCAACTTAATCAAGCCAATAAGTGTTGATGACCCAAAAGTTTTATTTTGGTCTTAACTTTAAATACGGTTTTAGAACCATTGAACCATCAATATCAATATATCATATTTTGCTTGTCATTCAGGTCCCTATCACTGTAGGAATGAGTTCATATGAGGCTGTGCTTCTATACAAAGGGAAGAGAGTCATAACATCCAAGGGAGAACAACAAACACAATGGCGAGTGGAGCAGTTAATTCTGTATTGCTCCTGCGGCTTAGTTGCTGGCATCATTGGTGGCTTGCTTGGTCTTGGTGGAGGATTCATCTTGGGGCCACTTTTTATTGGACTAGGAATTCCTCCTCAGGTACCTTTCATCCTTCACTTTTCCATAAAAGTCTATGAAGATTTGAGGATTTACCTAATTGAGATTTTTATGTTGGTCCCTTGGAACTCACTCATATTGGGGGAATTTTCCACAAAGGTGTCAAGTGCTACATCCAATTTTGCAATGGCATTTTCTGCATCTATGGCAGTTGTGGAATATTACCTCCTGAAACGTTTCCCAGTTCCTTATGGTAAGTATATATGGATGAACTAAATGCCCCCATTAAAAACCATTAAAAAGTAACTTTAGATGTACCAAAACTATAAAAGTAACGCCCAAATGCCCCCATGGTAAAATAGCCCTTATTAATGTTCCACTAATTTGACTATCTTGCAGCTCTTTACTTCGTAGCTGTAGCTATTGTTGCTGCGCTTGTTGGGCAGCATTTGGTTAGAAAGCTTATTGCCATTCTGGGGAGAGCATCTGTGATCATATTCATCGTAGCCCTCGCACTTTTTGTGAGTGGATCATTACTAGGCAAGTGAATCTTTTATGGAGATTACGAATTTTGCTTTTCTTTGCAACATAATTTTTTAAAAAAAATTCATGTATTTTTTTTTTTCTAAATCTCAAAATGGATTAATAATATAATTTTATCTCGTGTGATAGAAAAACGTTAAACTCTTTATTTAAATATAAATACTAAAAAATATAGTGTATTTGTATTTCAAATATATAAGTTAAAAATATGAATGCATTTTTAAGGATATATATAAATACTCTTATAAAAAGCAAGGGTTCTTGGAACTTCCTTAGTTTTGTATATATATGCTTTGACAGAAGAAATTATTTGAAGTTAGTTTTCAAGTAAGTAAAGTGTATTTTTTTTAAAAAAAAAATTCAGTATTTTAATATTATGGTACATTTTAAATTAAATTAATAATAGATGTCTTCCTAATTATTCTATAAAGACAAGTTCATTTTAAATTTTTTGACATTTTCAATAATTTATTACGATGGCTCAACTTTTTCTTTTTGTATTTATTTATTTATTTTTTAAAATTACAGGTGGAGTAGGCATATCAAACATGATTCATAAGATTGAAAAGAAGGAGTTCATGGGGTTTGGAAACCTTTGCACGTACAAGGTTGGAAATTAGAAATCATGATGGGGCAAGGAGTACATGGCTCCTTATTTCACAATAATTTTGTGTTGTCAGGGTTTGTATTAAAAAATTTACCTTTTTTTATTTGAGAAATATTTTTCTCTAGTTGCAGGAAGAAAAATATTTTCCTACCAAGAGATATCTAAAATTTCAAATATTTTTTTTCTATTTTTTTAATAAAAAACGTGATGAACTCTATGCATTCCTCTGTCTGCAGGAAATGAGATCATTAGTCTGTGACCGGAGGATTCATTACCTCTTTTTATTTTACCAATAATATTTTACCTGTTTGATTGTTCTACAACTTTATTACTGTCTTAAAGTTGCATCAACATTTTTAATATTAAATAAAATGCTATGATATAAAAATTTGTGATATCCCGCGATACAAATTTTTACCTGTTTGATTGTTATAGAACTTTATGCCTGTCTTAAAGTTGCAGGTAAAGAATTATTTTTAAGACGTTGAATGATATTATATTAATAATTTTATATTTCTTTAACATATTTTTTATACAATAATTTTTGAATTTAAAGTGTAGATATTGTTCATGTTCATTTTTTTGTCTATTTTATTTTGCACAGAGCTATTAGCTATTTTTAGTATACCTCGTATTTTTTTAATTCTATCACAAAGTGAAGGTGGTGAGGATCAAACTCGTTATCACTTGGTCACTCTAATTTTGATACTATATAAAAAATCAATTCAACCAAAATCTTTAAGACTTAAGTGAAGTTATATTAATAATTTTATATCTCTGGGATATTGTATCAACAGTTTTAATAATATTGTTTTGGTATTGAACATTTTTATTATTCCGCAATACAAATTTTAAAATTAAATTCACACAATTTTTCATGAATTTCAAAGATATATGTGCGGTCTTATTATTTTATACATTATATGCCACATTAAGTTAAATGAGATGAATTCTCAATGTTAATATAAAAAATAGGCTATGAACAGTTGAACACCTTTATCCTTATCATTTCAATAAAAAAAATGACAGGTTATATGGGGATTTGAATCAAAGCACAACACTCCAAGATAATTTTTCATTTCATATTTTAGCAAAAGAAATTCATTTTTTTTTATTTTTTTTTTGATAACATTAAGGGGCGAAGCCCCAAACAAAAACAAACAAACAACCAGAAACAAAAAATAACTATCCAGGGTCTATATCCCTACAAGAGGAGATTCCCTGAAGATCGTGATCAAATAACTGAGCAAGGTGAAACGGCTCGTGATCAAATAACTGAGCAATTAGGAAGAGCAGACTTGGCCAACCAATCTGCATAGGAATTAGCTTCTCTTGAAATATGAGAAAGCATTACCTCCCAATCCTGACCGATAAGTGCTTGTATCTTTTTAACCCATTAATATAATTACTATCAATTTAAAAATTGAATATAAATAAGCTACTTTATTAAAAATAATAAAATTCATATCCGAACATCTGCCAATAATAATACTCTACGAACCCAGCCAAACTATTATAGTTAACAAAATTATTTCAAAAATTACATTAAATGGGGATCGAACCCCTTGTATTGAGAATATACAACATTGTAAATACCACTAGATTACACAAATTATTGTTTGAATTGTACCATTTAAAAGATTTATTATATAATTAAGTATAAAATATAAATATATATATATCTGGTTCATGCGGTTCAACCAACGACCCACTGGTTGAACCATTGATCTAGTGACCGGTACCTCGACCGGGTCAATGACCGGTCCGGTTCTAATAACATTGTTACCAACTAAAAAGAGTACATTATATTTACAAAAAAAAAAAAAGAGTACATTATTATTCTCTTATTAGTATTTTTAAATTTTTGTAATAAATGTTTTTTTAAATATCAATCAGGCCTTTTTAATCCCTTTTAAAATGCATTAAATTGAAGGGGAAATGATTATCTCTCACTGACAGAAAATGAGAGAGAGAAAAACTCATAAAATAATAAACCTCTCTTCTTCTTTTTTATCTTAGTGATAGATAAATATTTTCTACTTCAAAAACACATAAATCGTTTTCTCTAAATTAAATGGATTTAAGAAAGGGTTCATTTTTTCTGTAGTCAATGTAGATAATATAGATAAGTTATCTACATTGAACTCAAAACGATGTCATTTTGAGGTGAAAATCAAAGTATTTTTGTAATTAAAATTTATTTCAGGGTTATAATAGTCTTTCTCATTATAATTTTTCAACTCAAAACGTCATTTTGTGAGTGAATGTAGATAACTTATCTACATTCACTATAGCAACATTAAAGCCTTTAAGAAAACAAGGAAACGCAGTCAACTTTTCGACATGTTTTTTCGAAACGCAGTCAACTTTTTTCGACATGCGGTCAACGCTGAAAAATTAACAAGTTACAAAAAATTATTTTTGTTTATATTTATGTTATGAAATTTGAATATTTGATTGATTGTATTAAATATAAATTATATTACATATATTAAAAATATGATTTAATATCAAAACATGTCCCAACGTGTCGAAACATGACATATTTTAGAATTAATGTGTCAGCGTGTCGTGTCGTGTCCCGTGCCAGTGCATCATAGGCCTTGACCGAATCGATAGTCGGATCGAGTTTTTAAATAATACTTAAACCCAATTAATATTTGAAAGGGAAATACTTTTCTTATGTTGTAGAAAAGTTAGGGGTGTTAACGGGCCGAGCCGAACCGAGCTTTGCTCTTAAAAGGCTAAGCCTTTGTTTAAATATATCAGTCTGATCAAGCTTGTTACCTGTTACGAATATAACAATCGTCCAGTGGCCTGTCTTATTTATAAAAAATGAAAGCCTTATTTAGCCTGTTTAAAAAAAATAAGACAACAAAAATTTATTCAAACAGAATATACAATCAACAGCACTAGTAATTTCATAAATATTCATAAATTCAATGTAAATCCAAATGACATAATATAGAACAAAATCATTCAAAAAAATATGTTTAATCAATAAAATGAGGTGAAATGGATTGAGGAAAGAGAGAGGCTATTAAAAGTAGTATAAAAAATATAATATAAAAATAAAAATTAATATACTAAGCCAGCCTGAGAGACTCTAAGATCGAGTTTTTAAATTGAAGCCTAAGGCCTTTTTATTAAACGAGCTTTTATACAAGTTCAAGCCTGGTTCCAACAACCAATTTTAAGCATATAAGATCAAGCCTTCACGAGCCGAGCCAAAGGCCTCTGGTTCATTTATCACCCCTAAGGAAAGTAGTTACCTCGTGTTGTAGAAATAAAATTATAAGTGAGACCCACAGGTAAGAAGAGAGAGAAAAGAAGAGTGACGGGACCCGCCTTCTTTTGTGTGTACAGAAAAGTTATTTATCTTATGTAAAATGAGATAAATATAATCCTATTTGAAATATATGGAATCCTGTCAAGCGTGATATACACGCGCTGTTGACGGCGGTGAACCCTCCTACGTTATATGTACACACTTACCACAGGTGTACAATGACCACGTGTTAAGTTATTATTGGTTTAAATCGGTTGCCACAGATCCCAGCGTAAGCACACTATAAAAGTCAAAGAGATAGAAAAAAACAAATTGGGTCATTCAGCTGCTAAGGTGATCTTTTGAATTTCACTGTAACTCTCTTTCTCTCTCTCTCTCTCTTTTGTTTTGTTTTTTGTTTCTGCAGTTGATGGCTGTAATTCACTGTTGTTTCAATTTATATTTATTTTATTTTCCTGTTATCTTTGAACTTCGTGTTTGTTAGTTAGAGTTCTGCATAACTGTAAGCTTTCCAAAACGTCAAATTGAAAGGTTTGAGTCTTTGGGAACAATCATGGGATTTGAATTCTTGTTCTTCTTTTTTCTGTTATAACTGATTCTGAAGTAACAGTGATTTTGATTTTGATTTTGATTTTTTTTTATGTAATCTCTCACTGTTCTTTTGGTAATACTCTCTTCCAATTTTCAGTTTTCAGTTTTCAATTTTCAAAATGCACATTTGCTTCTGTGGAAGTGCAATTCTTGTGTCACTTCTTTATTGTGATATATAGCTGTTTTTTGTTTTTGTTTTTTTTCCTCCAAAATTTATAATATTTGTATTTTTGTTATCTTTTTGTAGGACTCATCTGCTGCTGCTTTGATTGTGTCTAGAGGGATTTTGGTTTCCCCATAGATGTGCCCAAAGCCAGAAAGAAAGGATCTTTATCTCTGTCCAAAATCAAAAATAATTTCCAAAAAGGCATACTCTAAAAATGTTATTTCTGCTCAAGTGGCAGAAATAGGTACTGCCTTTCAAAATTACCAAGATGGTAAGCAACTTATGGATTCTATTCAGTGTATACTGTCCAAGCATCTGTGTCAATTCTTTTTCCTTTGATAGTCTTTACACAACACTTTCCTTCATCATGTTCCTTTTGTTTTTCTTTGCTGTTTTTTTTTTTAAGATATTGAAACAATTGTACTTGGATTTTGAGTTATCACATGAGTGGATACTATGAAAAAAAAGTCACATAAAAGCTCAAGATATTTTGAGATTTTCGTTTTTATGGACAATTGATAACTTTGTGTTGTTTATGCACTGACTGGTAATAATTAATAGAACCATTCTTGTTGTTGCTAATCTACCCAATTGATTATTATCTTAAGAGTGTGCTTGTATTGTATTGGTATTGTTTGGATCTGAGTTCACTTAGCTGCAGCCATGTTGGCACCATAAACTTCGCTCTATTATGTCAGTAGAAGGAATCTGTACTAAAGGCTTGTTAATATTAGATTAACTCTGAATAGAGAATAATGGTTTCATGAGTTTCATTTGTTATCGAAAAAAATGTTAAATCTTTTGACTGTGTAAAATGCCAACTATGCTGTTATGTAGCCCTCTCATTGAATGCACATCCATCTCTGACAGTTTACTTCCTTTCTTGATATAATTTATCTGTGTGTTGTAATTTATAAGATACGATCTTCCTTATTTTATGAGTTTGTTTTTGAATTAATGCTGAAATTGATTTTAATTTTTGACATTTAATAGTTCTTATTATTCTTTATAGCTTCCTCAAGGACACCTGTGCCTCCTAAGGATGATGTAAGTGGTGAATCCATTGACAACAAGGAAATTTTGAATAAAGATAATTCTGAATCTCAGCAGCAGCAATCATTTCCTCTTGATTCCTCTTTCCCGGAAAGAATGGTAGAGTTTGATTGTATTTGTTTTATACAATATTCATTTACTTTTGTTTAATATTGTGCTGAAGCTATATGAAGTTTTATTCAGGTACACCAGATAAATGTATTATTCCCCTTTTCTTAACATTTAAGCCCGAATAATGGTAGGAATGACAATTCCCAACTAAAATTCCATGACCTACAGGCCCAGTTAACAAAACCAGTTAGGTTTTGCAACTTTTTGGAACTAGTTGTACTGCTTTCCTTCATACAAGTGAGTTTTGTAAATTTTTTATAATAGTGGAGAAATGCAAAGCAACCGAGGGAGGGACGTTAGGGTTAGTTATTTACTCTGCTTAACAAGTAGAAATTTGTAAGAGTTTAATGTTGTGAAATAGTAATTTACTTCATTTTATTTATTTTAATTATTATTACACTAGCTGAGCAAATTTCCCCCCACTTTTTTGAAACCCTATTTCTGATTCCATAACTTTTCTCCACGCCTTGATTTAACTGCCCCATGTTTTAAATGTAGAAGCTGATTTTTATGATCTTAATTCATTAAATCTAAATTTAATAACATCCTATTAAAGGAAATAAAGAGCTATTGTTGAAAATTATATTTTGTTGGGAAGGGGTCAGTTTTTACGTTCAACATGTGGAAAGCTAAGGTGGTGTTTGATTTATTTTCTGTTTTCATTTATCGTTTATATGTTTTTACTAATTATGACAAAAATGTCATCTTGTTTTCATTTTGTTTCTTCTTGTTTTCAAGAATTCGCAAAGGAAGTGGCTAAAACAGCTTCACCATTTCCTTTACAACATCTTGGGAACAGGAAATAATTTGAAATAATGTGGCATATTTGTAATTATAAACAAAAATTATCACCTAGAATTGGCTTAGAACGTGCATGCATTGTGCGTTTGTGTTCACTTTATTTCTTGTTTCAAGAACATAAAAAGGAAGTGGTGAAAATAACTTCACCATTTCCTTCACAACATATCGGAAACAGGAAATAATTTGAAACAAGTGAGCATTTTTGTAATTATAAATGAATGCATCTAGAGTTGGCTTAGAATCGTATGTCGTGCGTGCATGCCTTGACTCCTCTACAATGCTCATAACTTTCTTCCTCTACATTTTTTAAAATAATTTTTTGTATGTATTACCTTTGAACTTTTACACACGCTACCATTGACAGAATTCACCATTTTTTTTTTCTTGTTTTTGCTAGGAATCAGCGAACTCTTATACAGCAAACATAGAAACAACTTTTTCTCCTCCTTTTGAGCCTACGGAAGTTCATTTTCTACATTATATTCAAGAAGACGCAGGTATGACAATTTTGTATTAACTTGATCTTATGCTTAGACTCCCATAGAATTTAATTAAAATAACGCAGTGTTTTTGGGAAATTTATAATTATATTCTAATTTGGAAGAGAAGAAGATTGTCAGGTTACTGAAAAATCAGTTTCTACTATCCATTGGTTTTAGTAAACTTCTGATTAGTGGGAATCCATATCATAATATCTTGTTTTGCAAAATTTATACTTTTTCCTGAATTTGCTTAACATATGATCAAGATATGTAAGATTTAAACAACTTTTTTTTTCTATTTACTTTATGTTTTTCTATTTATTTCAGGGCCATTTATAGAATATAAAGTAAAAATCAAACCATAATCTAATCTATTATTCTCGTATCCAGCTGCAGAAATTTAGATCAGAAATTATATGATCCTTGCACATGTGTTTTCCCCCCTGTACAATACCAACAATTTGTGCTAAAAGGGTGCACTGTACATTCACAATATATGTCACAGCAATATGATACTGAGCAACAAAAGAATTAATATTCAACATATCAAAATTAGGGTTTTCTTGAGAGAATTAAGGGTAGAAATTTCGGGATTTGAAGTCACAGGGGATTTAAGAGGGGGCATGGCTGGTTTGCTAGCAAAAACATGAGGATTAAAGAGTCAATTGGTGACTCTTGAGATGCTGTTGTTTACCAGTGGGTTTAGAATATAAGGTTTGAAGGGATTTTAGGAAAATTAAAGCAAGATTTATTAGGGATTCGAAGGGCTTAATTTTTAATGCTTAATCAAATAAATTGGATTGAGCACTCAATAAAACTGAAGAAAAGGAAAGAAATTGACTATAAAAAAGCAGAGATTAACATTGGCATCACACCAAATAAAATAAGATGCATCTACAGCTAGGGTTTACTTGCAAAATAATCTCTTAGGGGGACTGAAGGGAGTAGTATTCATCTTTAAGTCCATACTCCATAATAAATCTATTAAAATATCCTGTCACTGAAAATATGATATTGACATAAAATCTATAAATGTCAAAGCAATGAGATTTACTGTCCAGTCCAATTTTAAAACTAAACTAAATCAAATTAGGGAGATTTTTTAATCTTCAAGCTCTTGCCTTCGTGATTAAACTTCTTGTAGCTCAATATCTGACTCCTTATTACTTATGACTAGAGTATTTGCATATTATTATTTTATGTTCTGAACTTTTATTCTCTAGTAGGGAGCATTGGTGATATTGACATGCCCACTCTAAGAGCTGATGAATATGATGGGGGAAGAAGCATATGTGGCTATGAAACATGTGATGTGTCTGACTTCTACATTTCTGATATGACCATTACAAGCTTACCCTTTGATGGAGCTTCATTTGATGAAGATATCTGTCAGTTCAACTGCTTATGTGATTATAGATCTTCTGAGCCAACCATCTGTGATGCATCTGACCAGTATATGGTCCTGCCTGCTCTTGAAGTTGAAGATGATGTTAAAATTGGTAAAACTTCTGATATCATATCATTTGAAGAAGCCATGGTGGTTCGAGAAAATGCTAGCTTGTATTCAGCATTGTGTTGCAACCAGGATTCTGATTTTAAAAATGACTTGGATAAGGCAGATTTTTTTGATCCACAATTGTTTATCAAGAATTTTCCAGAACTATCAGACATAGAATGGAGTGATCTTTTCAATGAAATACCAAAGCAATCTCAGAGAAGAAAGTCAGTAACCCTAGTGCTTGATTTAGATGGTAAGAAATTAAGTACTTTCCTGGTTAATGTTAAAATAATATTTTACTTATTTAATATAGCACTAGATGTAAATTCATATGCTAATGATATCATTTCATCATAGGTTGAAGTGAATGTGTCTTACTACATTATGATTTTGGGTTATGAAACACAAGCTGCTTTGGATTCATAGTACCTTTTTTGTTATATTCCTTTTTTACATTGAGAGTTCCCCCGTTGTTATCATGAAAATTCTTGTTAGGCCAATAAAGCCTGCACTGCTATACGAAGTTGAATGTTGGCCTCTACAAAAACAACACGAGCATGGAATGGGAGTAGTGACAATGAGGATGTTAAGCCAAATGTGTGGTCATATAAGGATAGATAAGATAAAAAATGAATATATTCGACAAAAATTTGGAATAGTACCAGTGGATGTAGAGATGAGAGAAAATAAATTGAAATGGTTTGGGCATATTCTTCAAAGTGAAGAAAGTTTTAGCATTGAAGAGGGGTAGATTTTTTTTCTATATATTTATTTATTTTTACTATATATATATATATATATATTATTTTTATTTATTATATCTTCTCTCTCAATTTGGTCTTGCTTTTATTCGGATTCATCGACCACTAACCTAACTAGTTTGGTATAAAGGTAGTGTTTTCCTTGGGAGTTCAAGGATGAGATGCAGATATTTGTATGGTGTAATGTACACATGTTTGATGAAATCTAAAATGGTTATTTTTCTCCATTTTGTGAGTCAAAAGTTTCTAAAGAAAGATTATATTAAGAATCATATGGAATATATGAATTTTTTGATCTTACTATTTGACAGTATAGGAAGTACATATTTGTGAGGGAGAAAAAACTACATATCTTTGTTTAGTTAGTCAACTTATTACCATATCCATCCCTTCTGTGTATCAAGTTAATTTGGAGTAAACACAATGAAAGGACATTAAAGAAATTCTAAACAACACGGCTGATATTTAAAACTCTGAAACAAAGTGACAGAAGTGATGTTGAAATTCCAAATTTTTTGCTAACATATGAGGAAAAATATGTATAAGTAATTATCCCGAGTAAATTGTTCATGACTAAGAGCTTACAAAGATCACCAATATGCTAAAACATAACCGTCAAACCAGATTTTTTTTTTAGTTCAAACGAAACCCTACTCCATATATAAAGTGTTGTACCTGTGGGCTTAGTGATTACTTGACTGTCTAACAAACTTTGCAAAGGAAGCTTGTTTGATCCTTTGATATAAAATGCATTGTGTAGTTCATTAAAAAATTATGTAATTTGACTTGGCTTCTTTTAGTATTTCTCGGAGATGGACTTTCATTCATCACAATCTGATTGTTCATTTCATTTAGATGCTTATTTCTGAAATATTTACAGCAGTAAATCCAATTATCTTAGCCACACATGCTTGCTTTTGTGCAGAGACACTTGTTCATTCTACTCTGAAACATTGTGATGATCCAGATTTCAGTTTTACTGTTTTCTTCAATATGAAAGAGCACACAGTATATGTAAAACAGAGACCTAACCTCCGCCCATTCTTGGAGAGAGTGTCAGAGATGTTTGAAGTAGTTATTTTTACTGCCAGCCAAAGCATATATGCAAAACAACTGCTTGATATATTGGATCCTGATGGAAGGCTTATTTCACGTCGAGAGTATCGAGAATCATGCATTTTTTCAGATGGAAATTGCACAAAAGATCTGACTTTTTTAGGTGTTGATCTTGCAAAAGTTGCCATAATTGATAATTCCCCCGAGGTACAGAACCTGCCCCTCTCTGCTGGTTCTCTTTCTTTAACCTCCCAATTTTAAGCAGTTTTCACTTTCTTTCCAAGTATCAAATTCTCTCTCCACAAAGTTACTTTTTTGTGTTTATCTATCCCCCTTCTCTGGGAATTTCGTTTATTTCTCTTTTCTTACTAACACTATATATGTTAGGGGATTCTCTGAAATACATGTATAAAACGAGTTTCATTAGAAGCTTCATAACATTTATTTGGGGAATCCAGCAGTGATTAGTAGATGAGCACTAGCATTGACTTTCACCAAGGCAGAATAGGGAAAAAAAGAAGGAAGAAACATATGAGCTTCTTTGTATTTAGTCAGTAATAACCTGAAGACCACATTTATTTGTGTGTGTGGGGAAGGGTGGGGGAAGATTTTGTTCATTGAAAATATGTTGATATTAATTAATCCTTGCAATTTTATTGTACATTTCAGGTTTTCCGGTTGCAAGTGAATAATGGTATTCCTATAAAGAGTTGGTTTGATGATCCATTGGATTGTGCCCTGATGTCATTGCTTCCCTTTCTAGAGATCCTGGCTGATGCGGATGATGTCCGTCCTATCATTGCGCAGAGATTTGGTAACAAAGAATAAGTTTCTCATTAGACAAAAGATAGCAGATCTTCCTATTTTTTTTTCTAGATTTAAGAAAATTTGGCCTCTAATTAGATTTAAGTCTCCTTTCCATTTGAGTTCTTGAGATGAATTAACCTTTACAATAAATTATTGATTGTCTTGTTGTTGAGTCAACAATTAGTTCCCTTATCCAGTCTCAGTTGACATCTCCAGAGTGCTCTGTTTCTCTTGAAAGGTAGTATCGCAACCATATCTCTTTTTCTTGTCTCCCTTTCTTGCTCTGGTCTTTGTACAGTTGAGGTTGGTATTATTCTGCGGGGTTGCACATAAAATGTTATCATATTATGGAATATAGTTCTTAAAGTTAAATATTTTCATTTATTATGTTCCAGGTAAAGGGCCAATCAATTGTCATGCGTGCTAATTGAAATGAAAACTACTATCTAGTTAATTTTTGCTTGTTCTTTTTTATTTATACTGATTCAGGTTTCCATTATTTTCTTGTTGTATATTCTCCTCTAGGTTTGTGATTCAAGTATTATCTCAAGGATCATTTATGCAATGTGTAGTATATTGAGGCAAATCTTTAATTCACCAAAAACTTTATGAATTGATAACATTTCTTTTAAGAAAGCAAAACAAATTGAACCGAGGCTAGGATAAGTTTATAACTGACATTATAATCATCGTGCTGCCAAACTCAAGGATAAGATTGAATAGAAATGTGTATATTTGTTTTTCAAACAATAATTTACGTGTATAGTCAGACGTGTACCCGAACAATGCTCAGAATACATGACCAATTGACCATAGTTATGATTATGAACATCAAGTATGTGAGAGTAAGTGAATAATATATCATCATTATTACAACATTCTTTCACCTGAAGTTTCAACTACATTTGAAACAATTAACAGGTAGATGAATGTCAAATTAGTCAGATTCTTCATCTAAATTTGCCCGCCGAAATATATCTACATAAATAAATATTTAGTTCTTTATCTTTGTTTTGTTTTTATTATGTGAGATAAAGGTGTTAACATATCCATCTTTTCTAGCTTCTAGCAATAAAACTACTTTCATTTTAGCTGGAAAAACTACATGTAGTCATTAAATTGAACGTCTATACCATTTTATCTTTTCAAATAGATTTCAGGTTGTTAAACATTCATATGCTCCTAGTACTTCACAAAACATATTCAAATCATGATCAATCTGTGTTTGGACTGTGTCAAGTTCTGGCCTGGATTTTCTTTCTTTGCCTTATTTCGATGCGCATAGACATGTAGATGATTAATGTCATGGGCCCGTGTCCTATACATCTCTGTTTTGGAGGACAATAATAATTTCATTTTAGGTTTCAGAGGATAACCCAACTCAATTACTAACTTTTTGAGCCACAATAATTCAAACACTCTATGCCACTCTTCTGAATTTGACTTCAGCACTAGGCAATGACATCACTTTTTTGCTTTTTGCTTCTTCACGCGACAAGATTCTCTCCTACTTGTGAGATGCCTTGATGCAGATATCCTATCAATAACCTTTCCTGTCCTGTTTGCATCCAAATACCCATCATCATAAGCCTTTCCTTGTGGAAAACTGTTAAGACTGGATCAGATTGCCAACAAAAGAAATGAAAACACAGGGGAATTTGGCCCAGAACTTACTGGATTTTTTATATTGATAATGAAAACTGAATACATCTAAGAAAGAAGGAAAATAGTTTGTCTAACAATTACAATAACAAGAAGAAAATGCAGAACAGCTACAGCTATGAATTGCATAAAGGAATAACGCAATGAACAGTCACGAATGCAACACTTTCGAGAGGTGTGCTCTCTCCCAAGTTCATTCCAAATCCAGCCTGCCTTTCTCCTTCCATGCCACACCCTCCTTATAACCATTTACTCGCTTAAGGCAGCCACGTCAGCCCTCACATCATGTGCCTCTCCTTCCCTTCTAACTGAATTCCTTCCATCTAAAATATTCCCTGCCACCTCAGCTGACCCCCCTTGAGCTGATCCTCTGTGACGTCTTCTACTATACACCCTCAGAGGTGTCTTATCAATACTTCCCCCCATGACTTTCACCTTGTCCTCAAGGTGGAAATTGGGAAATTGGGAATTAAGCTGGGCGAAATCCTCCCATGAATTCTCAAAATCAGGCAAGTGTAGCCACTTGATCAAGACCTCCGTTCGACCAAGTGCAGTTTTTTTCCATTGCAGGACAGATTCAGGCTCAACTCTCAGTTCCCAATCATCTGTTAGTATGGAAGGCAAAGGTTGCACAGTAGTAGAGGGGGAGATAGCTTTCTTCAATAAGGATACATGAAACACATTATGAACTCGACAGTCATCCGGAAGAGCTAATTTATAGGCAGTGGCACCAATGCGCTCAACAATCTGGTAAGGCCCATAAAAACGCGGGCTGAGTTTCTCGTTCACTCTTCTAGCTATGCTTTTAAGCCTATAAGGCTGCAGTTTGAGATACACCCAGTCACCCACAACAAATTCCAAATCACGTCGATGTTGGTCAGCCTGAACCTTCATACGATTTTGAGCATTTGACAATTGCTGTTGGAGTTCAATCAAAATAGAGTCTCGGTCCTGCAGCAGCTGTGAAACTTCATCCACAGGGGAAGCCATGAAACTGGATCTAAACAAGGTGGGGGGTTCACATCCATACAGAACTTTGAATGGAGTTGTACCCGTAGAGCTTTTATAGGATGTGTTATACCAAAACTCGGCCCAAGGGAGCCAAGTTGGCCAAGTTTTTGGTTTTGGGCTGCAAAAACATCGCAAATAATTTTCCAAACAACGGTTAACCACCTCTGTTTGACCATTAGATTGAGGGTGATAAGCCGTGCTATATTTTAATTTCGTGCCACTGCATCGAAATAATTCTGACCAGAAAGAGCTGATAAAAACACGATCTCTGTCACTTACAATGGAAGAGGGAAACCCATGCAAGCGAACAATTTCTTTGATAAACAGGAAAGCCACCTCCTTAGCTGTATATGGATGAGCCAAGGGAATAAAATGGGCATATTTGGACAGCCTATCTACCACCACAAAGATTGTGTCCAGCCCATGAGCTTTAGGCAGCCCGCCTACAAAATCCATGGAGATATCCGTCCAAAGCTGAGAGGGGATAGGCAAAGGCTGCAATAAACCCGCTGGAGACAGAGTTTGGGCCTTGCTTTGCTGACATACAGCACAGGCAGCCACATAATTCTTGATATTTTTTCTCATGCCTTCCCAATAGACTACACCAGCAACCCTTTTATAAGTCCGTAAGAACCCTGAATGGCCTCCAATGCAAGAATCATGGAACTCCAACAGAATTTTAGGAACCAGTGCAGATTGTTTAGCCAGCACCATTTTCCCTTTATAAAACAGCCGCCCTCCTTGCAAACAGAATCCTTGATGAGCTTGGGGGTCAAGAAGTAAATCCTGAATAATAATCCCCATTCTTGAGTCCCTGTGCAACTCACTTTCAACTTGGTCATAAGCTGTAACATCAACACAAGACAAGGAAAATAAGTCTAAGTTCCTAGAAAGTGCATCAGCAACAACGTTCTCCTTTCCGGGTTGATATAGGATCTCAAAATCATACCCAAGCAGCTTTGATATCCACTTCTGTTGGTCCTCTCCCAACAACTTCTGCTCAGTTAGGAACTTGAGACTTTTCTGATCAGTTTTAATGATAAAGTGACGGCCCAGCAAGTAAGGCCTCCACTTTTGCACCGCAAAGACAATAGCCATTAATTCTTTTTCGTAAATAGACTTTTCTTGAGCTCTAGGTGAGAACCCTTGGCTAATAAAACTTATGGGTCGATTCCCTTGCATCAAAACAGCACCTATCCCTCGTCCCGAAGCATCTGTCACCACCATAAAAGGCTTGGTAAAATCAGGGAGTGCCAAGACAGGGACGGAACACATAGCTGTCTTCAGTTGTTCAAAAGCTTGTTGTGCCTCTGCTGACCAAACAAAGCTGTCCTTCTTTAACAAGTCTGTCAATGGTTTAGCCACCTTTCCATACCCCTGCACAAATTTCCTATAGTAGCCGGTCAATCCAAGAAATCCTCTAAGTGCCTTCACATTCTTAGGGGGAAGCCACTTGGTCATGGCTTCAATTTTCTTAGGGTCAGCACGTACTCCCTCTTTGGAAATTATGTGACCCAAGTACTCAATGTATTCCTGCCCAAAGCTACATTTTTTTCTGTTTGCAAATAAACAGTGTTGCCTCAACACCCCAAACACCAATTTAAGATGTTCCAAATGATCAGTTTGGTCCTTGCTGAAAATTAGAATATCATCAAAAAAAACAAGAACAAACTTGCGTAAAAATGGTTTGAGGACCTCATTCATAAGAGATTGAAAGGTGGAAGGAGCATTGGTGAGCCCAAACGGCATCACCAAGTACTCGTAATGGCCCTCATGTGTTCTAAAAGCCGTTTTAGGAATGTCCTCCTCACGCATCCTAATCTGATGGTACCCCGATTTCAGATCCAGTTTAGAAAAAATGTTAGAGCCTCCTAACTCATCGAGTAATTCTTCTATGACCGGAATAGGGAATTTATCAGGAATAATCAGCTTATTTAAGGCTCGATAGTCAACACACACTCTCCAACTACCATCTTTTTTCCGAATCAGAATTACTGGGCTGGAGTAAGGGCTTACACTCGGTCTGATCATCCCCGATTGTAACAACTCAGCAACCAAATTTTCAATTAAATTTTTCTGATAATGGGGATACCTGTAGGGTCGAACATTTGGCACCTGACTTCCTGGTTTGAGGATTATAGCATGATCTTGTCTTCGGGCTGGAGGGAGATCATTTGGAACTTGAAAAATGTCCTCATACTCTGCGAGCAACTCATCTAATTCTCTCCAATCTCCAGTGTTCTTCTTCTGCTCCACAGAAGACCACATCGAAGCTATCACATACCCTTGTCCGTCCTCAGCCAACGCCTTAATTGCTGAACGAAAAGAAGCTGTCGTTTTCTTGCAGGTTATAGATGAATCTCCCTTCAACACCACTTCACGGTCACCGTCAAGGAACTTCAAGGTGAGTTTGTTGAAATCAGCACGAATCTCTCCCAAACTTTTCAGCCAGTCGAGACCCAAAATGACTTCGGCCCCACCAAGCTCGAAGATGCGTAGATCCTGACGCGTGGATGTGCCCTGTATTAGAATTTCCACCTGACGGCAGATCCCGTGGCTAGTAACCTTGTAACCGTCCCCCATTTCCACCTTAAAAGTGAGGGTCTCTTCAACAACCAGACACAAACGGTCCGCCACTGCCTTACTCACAAAATTATGAGTCGCTCCGCAGTCCACTAGCATCGTGACACGCTCCCCTCGGATGGAGCCCCATAGCTGCATACTTTGGTTCGAAGAGAGCCCTAGGACGCTGTACATAGAAAGCTGCAACGCTTCCTCTTTCTCCGTCTCGTTCTCCTCTTCTACTTGGATGTTCTCC